ATTAAAATTTGATATTAATTAGAAAATCTCAAAAAATATTGTATAACTTTGGTTATTTTTGAGATCTTTTAATCTATGATAGTTTGGATCTCCTTAAAATTCAACATAAGACCATCATTTAAAATGATATATATTAGAAAGTCAACTTATACAATGTGAAATATACACTTTTTCATCTTGGTGTATAATATTATATTTCTAAGTTTTTGTAACATATGAAAAATATGAAGTTTATGCTCTTTTGTTTTTTTAGAATAGACTAAAATGTTATTTAAATCATAGACAACATAATCGTTAAAAAATTCATAAAAGACATTATTTTTTAGATGTTGAAAAGTAATTGGTGTATTTGTGAATCCAAAAGATATAAAATTATATTCAAAATACCTATAATTAATTCAAAATATAGTTTTTTATTTAATTTATTTTTTAAATATATACCAAATTATATGTTTTTTATAAATCTATTTTTATATAAAACTTTGCTTAATTTACTTGATTAAAAAATCTTAAAATCAAACAAAGAGGATACTTATTTTTAATGGTAATCTTATTGATCCTTCAACAGTCTACATACATTTGCAGAGATCAATTTTTTTTCTTCTTAAATAAGATAGGAATTTTGGTTAGAGATTTAGAATGGCACATGCAGTTCTTAACCAAATTTTCATCAATATATTCTTTGAGTGTAGCCAACTTGTTTAGTGATAGGCTATAGATTAGTCCAAATAGTGGTTGATGTCATTCTTGAAGATTGATGGAATAATTGTAGAAATGATGTTGAAAACAAATATCTACAGACTATTTTTCAAAAATATCTTGATAATCTTGATATTGGCTTGGAATTCCACTTAAAATCTTATTATTTTTTATTTTTTATTCTATTTATTTTTATCAACAATAGATGTGACATAAATAATAAAAATTGATCCTTCTTTTGTAATACGTATAAAAGCTCTTGTACCTATCAATAATAATTTAAATATATCAATCTTATTGGTTTCTACTTACCTAATAGAATCTTTATCTTAATTATGGAAAAAATCAAGGTTACAAGAAATGTAATCTATTTGAGGATTATACTTTTTTAACTATAATAATTTTATAATAATTAAATTAGAAAGAGATCTAATCACATTAAATATTACTAAGCTATTATGATCGCTAATTGCTACATCTAAAAGAATAATTTTATATGTAATATCTCCTAAAAACAATAAACAACTATCTATTACTTTTTAAATAGATTTGGTTTTCTTAACTAAAGATATTTCTTATTTTTTGACAAAGTCTTTTTCTATAAAATAGGCTTAGGCTTTTGAATCTAATAAGGCTAATACATTGTAATATTTTGGTCCTAAAAAAAATTCTACTGTGAAACAAAAAAAAGGATTTGAAGAGAGAATAGAACCTTAATTAGGTATTATATAAGATTTTAGCTACACAATCTTTTTTGTAATTAGAAGAACTTATTTTTAAGACATCGTCTTCTTTGGCAACCATGCTCTTAATTTTGTGATTGTGTTGCTTCTTTGTATAGTATTGAGTAGTGTACTTAGGTTCTCTACAATATAAGCATAAATCTTCTTCATGACAATGAATCATTTTTTGCTTTAAAAGAGGATTAAAATATATTCTATCAATTTGCATAGGCTTTGGCTTAGAAAAATAAGCTTTTAAAAACTTAGAAGGTATTGCCATGGCTTGACTTATATCTCTCCAATCAAATATTTTTTCTTGACATCTTTCAAAGAATTAATTGTTACATGCAATGGCTTAAGCATTAAATTCTTCTTATGAATTTGCTCTTAGTATTGTCAACAATAAATATTTGATATTATCTTTCGATCTATATCAAAATTGATTGATAAGAATTTTGTCATTCCAATCTATATTGGAAGCAAGATTTTAGAATTTAGCAGCATATGTGGTCACTGAACGTGATCCTTTTTATTAAAATATAAGCTTAGTATTTGCTATCCTTTCTCAATCACTTTTTCCAATTGTAATCATAAACACTTTTAAGAATGAATTCAAATTATAGAATAGTCATGAATCTTTTGCTTTAAAGGTGCCAATAAAAAAAGAGCACTCTCATATGAAAGTTCTCTTATAAATTTAACTTGAATAAATCTATCAACATATTGAGAAAGATACAATCTTAGATAAAATTTTACTTATTGTAAAAATCCTCAAAACTTTGAACTTGTTCCATCAAACTTCTTCAATATACTTATCCTTGTCTCATTTATACTTATAGTAGCAAGACTCTTTAGATTCAATTGTCAATTTGATCAGTTTTTTTTTTTTTTTTTTAATTATACAACTTCTTGATGCACATTTTAAATTTTATTGTTGACTTCTTCCATAGATGTAGGAATAGTACTCCTATGATTCATGTCAAAAATATGTGAGATTTCTATCCTAAGAGTACTAATAAGCTTGTGAAGATCTGGAATAGTTATAAATTTATTCTCACTTTTGCTACGAGTATCTTGTATAATTTTTTCTTTTATAGACAATTCAGACAAATTCAAAAAGTCAAATTTGAGGAAAGTAATCTGCAACCTCTAATATCAAATAAAAATTTATACAAAAAAAAACTAATTCATTCTTTTTAAAAAAAAAATGAATATTAAAAAACTAAATTCTTTATTTAAAGGTAGATAGTCTATAATCTTCAAACACAATAATAAAAGTAGAGTAATCTACTCATTCTTGAAAGAAGATAAGGATAATAAGTTAGCATTCTTGTCAAATTGTCAAAGACATGAATTTTAATAAAAAAGAATTTCAATATAGTCTAGTATCACTTGAAATAATTAAAAAAATGCTCAAAGATGGTTATATATTGAACTAGAATAGGTATTGTTAAAGACAAGAAGATTAGAAGGTCCTGAAAGAAGACTAAGAACTAGAAAAGCATTAACAAGAGTGAAGAAGGCTTCATTCTTGCCTCCATATATATTATCTAATTAAGAACTATATGGCAATGCTCTATAAGACATCCAACGTGTGTTAACTTTGCGAGACACATATCTTAACTTGTAAGAAAAAATTTCTACATATATGCCATATAATTACCTTGTTCCACAAGCTACCAACACATGTGACATATAATTAATTTGTTGATCAAGTTCCTAACCTACCAATTAACTACAAATACATATAAAGTCAAAATCACATATAAAAAGCTTTTAGAAAGCTTTTCAAAAAGATATTATGAAATTAATCTATTTTTACCTACTTCAATCTAATCATATAGGTAATAAATTTAAATAAATAGGTATGTCCATGATAGTAGGTTGATTTCATGTCTCTTAATAAATATATATATATATATATATATATTATAATTTTATTTATTTCTTGCACTTTATAATCTTTATAAATCTTAATAATTTTTCTTTGACACTTAATGTATTATCAATATAAAATTTATTTTTGAATTATCTAAAATATTGAATTATAATAAATTATGATATATATACAATATCAATATAGTCTCATAGTAATGAAATATAATTATTTATTTGAACATGTAAGACATAATTAATAAATATATACATAAATATTTATTTTATTATTTTAAAAAATATTAAAAAATAGACTAAAGAAAAAAATCTAAATCTTATTTTACTAAAAAATTAAAATAAAATAAAACAATAAACCTTAAATCATCTATTTATTTTATAACATAACAAATGATAACTTAACCGTATATATATATATATATATATATATATACATATAATTTCCTTGTATCACATACATTTAGGAGGTTAAATGTGCAATTTTTTAATTTTCAATTTTTTTTCTAATAAAAATAAAATATAAAGCACAAAAAAATCAAAAAAAAATTAAAAAAATTAAAAAATTAAATTAAAAGTATAAAAACAACATTTAAACCAAAATAAAAATCTACACACATTGCTTGTAAGATGATACAATAAAATGATAATTATTAATATTTTTTTTAAAAAAAAAAACTTTGAAGAAAATTATCAAATTTTGATTTTTTTTATCTTTAGATTTTACAATCTTCAAATAATATATTTCTACCACTTAAGAGATCATAATATGCATCTTTTCAGATCCTTAATTATATTTTAATTGACTTTTTATTATATGTTTATCAATCCATAAAAATATTTCCAAAAATATTTTGTAAATTTTTGTTTTATTTGGTTATTGACATGGGCAAGGCACGCAAATCTAATTCATGCCAAATCTTTCCACTTACAGGCTAGCACATCTTCGTTGCTTGCAGCTGTTGCAATTGCTTGAACACAATCTTTCCACAAATATAAGCATCTATGGCTGTGGCCTCCAGAGCAGCACAAGTTTTGTCATGAGTCCCTCGGCAATGGTATCCGTCCTCCCAGACTTCCTGGAATAGTTCTCCAAGTTTGCCTTGAAAAACAGTAATTCTGTGTTTCTGCGCAAGGTTGTCATGCAAAACCCGGAAGAATAAGAACAGTGTTTGAAAGAATGGCAAAATTGCACACGACGTCTTTCTCACTGTCGGTACAAGATGAAACGAAATAAAAATGTTCCCAAAAGCATTTTGTTCGGAAAAACCAACGTGAAGTGGGTAATTGTGAGTAGTTGCGGAGACAGCGTTCGTCCATCTTCAAGAGGAGCACGGAAATGCCGATGTGGTTCCTGTTTATTTATGTATTAATTTATTTTTCTACAATTTGCTTCTATACTGGACTGCAGCAAGCGAGAATATCATTCAAAGCCGTCTTAAAATGGACCTCTAATGGAGTCCACTCTGTCCGCGTATCCCGTCTGTCAAAACCATCGCTTGGATTCCTCGAATTTCGATTGTGCACCTGCGGAAACAGTTACAACCCACAGTCCCGCTACATTACCGCACGATGCCGTGATCCAATTTCTGCTGCCGATGGACAAAAGGTCCCGAGAGGCAGAAAAAGAAGAGGCAGGAGTGAACTCCCGTCATCGTGAGGGTTGTGGCAAGTGAAAACTAGTTTATTCTCGCAGCCGCGGTTACAGGTGACTATTCCTGCACCAATCCTGTGTAACTATCTTCGACCTGGGTGCCGAAAATTTTTGGGGCCTTCACGTGCTTTTCTTACCGTGGAATCACCAGTAGATTTCAAAATTTGAACGGGAAATACTCATGTGAAAGTGGAATGTCTTGCTGCTTCGGTGCCAGATTTGGAATTCTCCGGCACAAGTTAGCCTCGTCCCTACCATCCATGGTGGCAGGAGACCACTCAATCCATCTCCGCGGTCTGTTGCAGGTTTTCTCAAACCCCTCCTCGCATCCCCGCTTCTGAACCCGCATCGTGGCTTCTCAAACTTTTACTGTCGTCAGCTTCATGGATCTCGTTTCTTCGTCCGCAGTTCTTGTTGTGGAGATGGGGGAAGAGAATGAGAGGATTGAGGGAAAAGCCGCTCCGCAGCGTTGATGATCGAGTAGGAGTGCCTTGTTAGAGAAGCAGGGTGGCGATGATGGGTTGGAAGTGGCAACGTGGGATGTAAAGGTTGTGCTGCCAAGCGAGTAGTGGAGTTTTCCTTGTGGAGCAGGAGTAATGGAATTTAGCGACACTTACAAGCATTCGGGTCCCTGTTGTTTTTCCCCTGATGCCCGATTTTTGGCTGTTGCAGTCGACTACCGTCTTGTAATCCGTGACGTGGTCTCCCTCAAGGTGATCTCTCCTTCCCCACATTTTCATTGCTTCCTTGAGGGCTAAAAAAACAAAAAGAAAAGTATGGTTTAGCTAGAGACATGTTATGTATTCTGCTTCTTTTCAGAGGCTGACGAAGGCAAGACTTAATCGATGGACAATAAGCCGTTGTACGAGAGGCCCCGCAACCAAGTTAAGTGTATTTGCCGGCGGATTTATACATTTCCCTCTGGAACTAAACTCAATTCACGACGCAGTTTGTTTCCAAGAGAAAAACTCGATGGGTACTTAGGTTTCTTGCCCAATGCGCTCCATTGGAAGATTCTACAGCCTAGTCAGGGCTTGATGCGCATTCTCCGATCATTTATTAAGGGATAAGTTCTTCAACTATTTCTTCCTGTTTAATCCAAGTCTGTCTTAAGCTTTAGAACTTGGATGAGAGGTATCTCTTGAAACAAGATTCTACCATATTATTGGTTAAGTTATCTTGTTGAAAAGCTTCGAATACATGGTAGCTCTTCGGTTGTGTCTACTTCTTTTGAAGCCCTGATATCCCACGAACTCTTTTCCTCGCTACTATCACTTAATGAGACTTTATAAACATTGGTGAGAGCTTGTGATTTACACTTTCTATTTTTTGATTTTATGAGGTTTCACGTATTTTATTTTCTCCTCCTCCCAAACCTCTGCATTTGAGGAGTATGCTCTTGGTGTCCTCTGCCACCTCTGGTAGTCACCCGTTTCCGCACTGAATCTTCGATACCTCGGTATTTTTTCTTAATGTCCTCTTCGATTAGTATTCGGGGATAAAATATCGCATTATCACGTAATCTGTGCTTACATGCTGCGCCGCTTGACTGCCTTGCCTGTTTTCTTCTCCACCGTCCTTCCTGTATGTGCGATCTTGCTTGGCCTGGCCCGAGTTCAGTTGTAAATCATCATTTTCAGATTTTTTAAGAACTAGTGGAATGTATAAACCATCCCTGCGTCTTCTTTCATATTCCTTGAATCGAAAATGGGTATGAACTTCAGCATCAGTGCTTAGATTTGGTTTCTTACAACAATTTGGATCACATTTTGGGTCTGGGTTTGCAGGTTGTGCAGTTGTACTCTTGCTTGGACAAGATTAGCTATGTAGAATGGGCCCCAGATTCGGAGTATCTTCTATGTGGTCTCTTCAAGCGAGCTATTGTTCAAGCATGGTCTGTATCACAGTCTGAGTGGACCTGTAAGATTGACGAAGGTTCAATCGGAATAGTGCATGCCAGGTAGGTAATCCTGGCCTTTCTGTACTCGCCGAAGGAAATGCGTGGTCGAACACTCAGTAATCCAAGTCAACTTTATCGCTTTCGTCAGATTCTGATGCTGTACTCTTTTTTCTTTCCGGGCATACCGATTATCGCTCTTTCATTACATTTGTGGGATTGAAGTAGTTGCGTGGGAACTCTGGCAGGTGGAGTCCAGATAGCCGTCACATTCTTACAACATCCGAGTTTCAACTCCGTCTCACCGTGTGGTCTCTTGTAAGTACTGCGTGTGTGCATGTCCCGTGGCCGAAGCATGCTACGAAGGCTCTTTCCTTCTCGAAAGATGGCAAGTACATAGCTATTGGCACTCGGCGAGATTGTAGAGATTATGTCCATCTTTTGGCATGCCAGGGATGGGAGGCCATGGGCAATTTTGAAGTGGGCACCACGGACCTCGCTGATCTAGAGTGGTCACCCAATGACAGTACAATTGCCGTGTGGGATTCTCCTCTTGAATATAAGGTGTGTACAGATCGTTGCATATCATGCACCTTCAATTTCTTTTCTGTCTTTGTTTACATGAATATTTGCCTCGCTGTGTTGCCTTCCGTTCATTGCTGAACTTTGTACTGGTTCTATTTGCAGGTCTTGGTCTACTCCCCTGATGGCCGTTGCCTTTTCAAGTATGCAGCTTACGAAAATGCGTTGGGAGTCAAGTCAGCGACTTGGTCACCATGTGGCCAATTTTTAGGTGTTGGCAGCTATGACCAAGTTGTGCGAGTTCTCAATCATCTGACGTGGAAACCTGCGGCTGAATTTAGTCATCCAGCACAAATCAGGCCTCCTTCAACAACCATCGTGTTTAAGGTAGGTGCTCAGGCTGATTTGACTACGTGTTGCTAAAAATTTATATTGACACATGGACACGGTGCACGAGACACCGAAAATGGGTCAAGATTGAGTTACTTCAAAGCTAGCTCACAGGGTGTATTCTACCTTTGATCGGGTAAATGATGCTTCAGTTTCAGACATTAATATATAACCCCTGGTATATAATCTAAAATGTATTATTTAGCCGCGCAAGCCATACAACGTGCAAACTATTGGGATCCTCATGTTTGTGCGTATTGTGCTGCACGATCGTTTTCTTTGTTTCATTGTTTCTACCACTTGCTCTAATTTACCATGGTGTGAAACAGTGCGGGCTCTGATGTATTACAGTCTTTAATGGTGGTTGCAGGAGGTTGATGAACCATGGCGTACCGACTTAGAGTCGATTTACGCTAAAGGTAAAACTGCAACCGATGTTATGACCGGTAGACAGCCTTATCACTAACGATTGTAGTCCCTTTGATCTTTTTTTAGGATATGTAGTATTTGGCTAATATATATATATATATATATATATATATATATATAGTTTTCTTAATTTTTACATCTTGCTCCACCTGTTTTCGAACGTCAACTCCTTCGACTCTATATTTCGTTCTATACGTTATGGATCAATTTATTCTTTCATTTTAGTTTTCTATTGTACGCTGATGTATGCGGTCAATTTATTGTTAGCACACCTGCGTGGGTGTTTGTGCGTAGGCCTTCCTTGTGACTCCTTACGACGGGTTTTCTACAAAGTGGTCGAGGTCCCTGTAACCATCCCCTCGTATAAACCACCAGTGGACAAGCCCAATCCAAAGCAAGGGATTGGTGAGTGCCTAGCCTTAGCACTTATATCTGGCAATTTATTCTCATCTATCTATCTGAATTGTCTTGAACACGTCTGGTGTAGCGTGCCTTGACTTTAACCCTGCGGACGAACACCTGAATAACCCGAGTTGGTACATGTGATTGTGCACGTAGGTCTTCTTGCGTGGAGTGCAGATAGCCAATATTTTTTCACAAAGAACGACAACATGCCGAATGCTTTGTGGATTTGGGATGTCGTGCGTTTGGAGCTCTTGGCTCTTTTACTTCAAAAAGATCCAATACGGTCTGCAGCTTGGGATCCTATTTACCCTCGCATCGCTGTTTGCACAGGAACCTCCCAATTGTACTTGTGGACCCCAACTGGCGCTTGTTGTGTACAAATACCGCTTGCCGGATTTTATGCATCTGAACTCAAGTGGATACCAGATGGTACTGCATTGCTGTTGAAAGACAAGGAAGCCTTCTGCTGTACCTTCGTGCCCATGCTTCCTGAATTTGAGCCTGATGATGAGAATGAGAACGAGAAAGAGAATGGTTCGTTGTAATATATTGTTCAGGAATCAGGTTATCCAAGCATTGTTGCAAGGGGCACCAAAATTTCTTGGTTACTCTTACTGTGGAGAGTAGGACAACATGATTGATGTTACTTGCCACTCAGTCTTGAAGTGGGGAAAGGATATACAATCCCATTATTACAGGGCAGGAAGCTTAGGAAAAACAATCATTTGAGATGTTAACATACTTATTAGGAATATGACTTTTGTAGTTTGCCAATTTTTGTCTCAGACTAGTTCGCAAAGCTGCTTTTTTCTTCTTGTAGAACTGAGCTTAGTTATGAAATAAGGTCCAACATTCGTCAGTCGGAGGGATTCTGCTGGTATCTATGGGTTCTGCACGTGACCTCATAGTTCTAAGGATTCCTGGAGGATTTGAAGGGCATAAGAATACTTGTGCTCAGAGTGAAGATCAGTGGCTCCTTTCAATTAGATGAATCAACAACCTTATGTCATTCTTCACAAGTGAATCTTTGTTGATGACGTTGAAGCTCTTACACTCGATGTTTATTTAGGTTCTCTTACGTGGATGGTTGTGCTGGCTGTCAGCAGGCTGTTTCCTGTGCCCCTCAATGCCTTAATTGGTGCTAGTCATTGAGGTCGAAACATAAGATTGCTGCGCAAGTAGTTTGGTCTCTGACAGTCTCCTTTTTCTCTCATCAATCAATGCTCCTTGTACTGAGGTGTCAGTAGCCCAGCATTGGGGCTTCTGTGGTCAACTGCAGACTTGCGTGTTCTTTAACAATGTTGCACTTTTGCATCTTAGGCCTCAAGAAGGCTGTGTGTGTAGGTTAATTCTCTTGCCCTCATTCATATGTGTGTCAGTGTTTATTTGCAGTGGTCCTATCATCTTTCTTACATTGTATCTTATAGGAAATGGAGGCTGTATGCATTGCATAGCGTTAATTTTTTTGGTTTCAAGTGTTGTTGTTGTTGTTGTAATTTTTTTTTTTTTTTTTTTTTTTTTTAAATGTAAGTATATATATCCACAACAGACCTTTTAATTTGCATCACAACATATCTAGAATTTTCATTAATTCATATGTCACAAGAGTTTCCAGTTCTTATTTCCTTTTTGTTTGGTCCATTTTTAACAATATTTTATTCAATTGTATTATATTTTTGCAAGTTTTTTATTAGTTTGCATATTCTTAAGATTACTGATTATTCATTGAGTATTTTTACAAAAAAATACATTTGAATTTTTTAAATAATTAGTTACAATTTTGTATATTTGAAATTAGTACTTCAGGGTATTAAACAAGGTGAGTGGAGATGTGAAAAGATGTTTTAGACTATGCAAAATGAAAACTGATTGTTACAGATTTTTTTTTAAAGAATGATATATATTTTTTAATCTTCAAAGGATCTTCAAAGGTGTAAGTCATCTCTCCATTCTATTCCCCCTTATGATATTCGGCAACAATTTATTGGAATAGTGTTATTTTATGAAAAATAAATAAATAAGAGAATTATGAAAAATAGACAGAAAGTGATGTCTCCAACATTCTTGCATAGCAGTTGTATGGGGGGTGTCAAATAAGGTAATTGTTTTGATAGTTTACTTAGAAAGATTCTAAATTTGTGAAGTTCCAACTATTTTAAAAAATAATAATATATATTTTAAGAAAATGAAGAAAATAACTTACTACTCTATTTTGTATTTGTTAATTTGTAAACATTTTAGTGGTAAAATCCACTATTAGTATAACCATAGTATAACTCTAGTATAAATTTAATTATATTTATTTGTTCAAATCTTTTTGTGTAGTTTGAATTGTGGAGATCCAAATCTATAAAAACAACTAAAAATAAAAACTTTGATCATGTTTTCTCCATAAAATGGTCATATTTGTTAATTTTTTTAAAAATCAATGTTCATTATTGTATGTAATTTTGATTTATTTTTTAAAAAATACATTTTAAAATTTTAATGTGTTGACAAAGACATCTCATCGATTATAAAAAAATAAATAAATAAATAAATAAAAAATACTATTTTAAAAAAGAGATATCTTTCATCTATCTCTTAATTTCTTTTATTTCATGTTTTTTTCAAGATTTTCAGATGAGAAAAAAATTGAGTATAAATCATAAAACATAAATAGTTGTGTGGCCTAATTCACATTCAAGAAATAAAGATTACTTCGTTATTTCTTACAATACTTAAACTTGTAATAAATGATGCTTATTAGGCTAACTTAAAGACCCATTGGTGTTTAAGACCCATTGGTGTTGTACACTAGGCAAAAAGTCCATCCAAAAGACCAAACTCAACCTCCTAGAAGGGGATTTTGGAACATCCCAAGAATAAAAACATGTACCTATTTTTTTCTCACTTACAAAACCTCCTAAATATTCTTTCTAGATGTTTTTTACTCATTTAATGTCTCTTTTTATTTTTTTTTGATCCTTTAAAATTTGTATACAAACAAAATAAATTCCTATGAATGAGTCCATTAAGCATGTTTAAATTGTACACAAGAGATTCAAAATACCATTCTTTTCAATACTAAAGAAATGTATATATATGTATATATATGTGTATATATATATATATATATATATAGAGAGAGAGAGAGAGAGAGAGAGAGAGAGAATTGTTAAATCAACCCAGCAGTTACTAAATCAACCCACCTATCAACATTGGTTGTGGACCTAACTATTTTTTCATTGGTTTTCAACCAATACAGATGTAGTAGTGGAGAATTTTTTGACGATGGTTAGAATTGGTGGGTTGATTTAGTAAATGCTTGGGGCAATTTGACAATTCCCTACATATAAAGAGAGATTTTTATTACATTTTTCTGCCAACAACCTGCCATTCATGCTTTGGTAGAGTCCAAGGTTGCTCACACATCAGCTCCCAGGCTTGTTTGTTGTTTGTTAGGCTTGTTGGTGCCATGTCACTCACTCACTGAGATTGAGGGTGGGGTGAGTGAGTTTGAGGTAGCCCAGCTGTCTGTGTTAGAAGAACCTGCAGGCCAGATGGTGCCAAGTGTTGACCCACCTGGGACGTGGTGGTGGGTCGATGGGTGGAGTGGAGCTCAGTCCAAAACTGGGGGTTTTGGAGTGGGAGTCGCAGGCAGCAGTAGCGGTAGGGAGGGACGGGGGACACACGGACAAGTAGGCCTACTACATCAGCAGCAGCTTAGTCAAGTCAAGGGGAGTTTAGGGCATCATCATCGATCGATCGATTGATTGATTGTTTGATTCTTCCTCAACCTGGAAGCCACCTCGAAGAAGTAGAAGCGGTTTCACTCCCTCTCTCTGGATGTTGCAATCCGTAGCAACTCAGGTGGGTGGGTGGGTGGGTTTTTGTGCCTGATCCGGAGTGAACTCGTAGGACAGTAAATCTGGAACTAGAAGTTATTTTGAAAAGTTTCATCAGTGGAGGAGATTGGGATTTGTTGTACCTCTCACTGATTTCTCGAAGTCACAGTTCAATTGTGGGGGTTTTGTTTTAAGTTGCAGCAGCGAGAGCATTCGTGTGAAATCTCGCTGCTTTCCACTTCTGCTGATATCGTCCTAGGAAATTTGGTCATTTCTCTATAGTTCTTCCATTGTGTGACTGGTTCAATTGTGTCACATCGAAGCGTGATCTCCTGCAAATTTTTTGTAAATCTTTTTCTGTGTTGCTGTGGTTGTTGTTGTTGTTGTTGTGTGTGTGTGTGTGTTTTTTTTTTTTTTTTTTTTTTTTTTTTAACTATTTGAAAAAAAGTGAAGCTTTTGTTCGTGCTGTGCAGATAGACCTTGCAGGTTTTTGCTTCGGAGGGAAACAGCCACGTTGAGACGGGTTGTAGTGAGTTCGATTTGAGATTGGCTTTTGCAAAAGCTATAGTTTGATCTCTCGACAGACTCAGTCGAAAGTTCGTGTACTGTGAATGCGTTGACAACCGCACCAGTGTCTCTAATTCATCCCCTACATCTGTGGCGGCTAGAGCAGACTTCATACAATCATGGCAACAATTGGAGGCATGCTGCTAGGCCACGACCTCTCAACAGTACTCCAGTGTGAGAAAAGCGGCGTCAAATACTACGATTTCGATTCCTCGGAATGTAAGCCTCCTGAACAGATAGTAGCAGCTCATGGCGCGAATCTTGTCCGACTCCGCTTGTGGGTGAACCCCCCAGCAGGTTTTAGCGACTACGCAAGTGTGCTGGAGATGGCAAAACGAGCCAAAAAAGCCAACCTGAAAGTTCTGCTGTGTCTTCACCTCTCGGACTACTGGGCCGATCCAGGCAAGCAGTTCACCCCTGGAGCATGGGCAAACCAAGACTGTAAAACGCTGTGCAAGACTGTCGAAGAGTATGTCCGTTACATCATCGAAGCTTTGCAGCGCCAAGGAACGCCGCCCTTCATCGTTGCAGTCGGCAACGAAGTGTCCAACGGCATATTATGGCCCACAGGTGCGCTCAGCAACATATCACAGTTCACATCTCTCCTCAAGAGCGGCCTGGCAGCGGTGAAGGAGAAGGGGATTGCAAGCATGGTGCACATCAACAACGGCCAGGACAAGGACTTGGTCACATGGTTCATGGGCATGATGGTCGCAAATCACGTCTCCTTCAATTACTTAGGCTTGTCTTTCTACCCTGCAGACGGCGCCAAGCTCTCCGACCTAAAATCGTCTCTAGAAACGGCAGCGACGCGCTACAACAAGCCCATGGTCGTCGTCGAAGTGGCCGAGTCGTGGGCCCCTTCGCCAAACTGTCCCGAAACACAAGAATCCTTGATGACAGAGCTTCTCAAGGTTGTGAGCAGTGTCCCGAGGGGTTTAGGAGCTGGGGTTTGCTATTGGGAATCAGCTTGGGTCCCTCCAGGCGAAGCGTACCCCGGCGAAGGCTGCCATTACGGCTACCGCGCCCTGTGGAACGAGCAAGGGAGGCCGCTTCCTGCCCTTCGATGCTACGAATTCTACGCGAAGGGCCCATTGCAGCCCACGATGCACACGCGACGACACCATTTCTGGGGTCTCGGTAGGAGCCATGAAGGAAAAGACGAATTGTAGGCGACATGGCCGAGGTTGAATCCACACACACGCACACACACACGTCGTGATGCTGCTGCTGCAGTCTCACTCTCAATCTTCTTCGCTCGGTGTCGATGCGCTTCCTCCTTTAAGGTCGTCCGCTTAAAGTATATGTACTTTAACGTATTCATGTACTTTAAAAGTATTCCAGAACATACCGAAAGCCAAGTGTATTTAGTCGGGGGAGCTGTAGCACATAAGCTTACCTAACACAGATTGTATTCTTTTGGTATCTTCTTCTTCTTCTTCTTCTTCTTCTCATGTTTATCTTTTAGGGTTTTTGTATTACTTTTTAGTTTGTTTTTATTTTATTTTATTCATTTTTATTTTAGGAGAATTGTATTCTTGAAGAGCTTTAGTTTTTTTTATTTTCTAGGTTTACTTTTTTTTTATTTTTATTTCATTGGACTTTTTAAAGAAAATATCCTTTTGGTGTTGGAGGTATATATTTTTTTCTATAATGATTTTGAAAATCTGAAATTTGTGACGTGTTATAATTCTTTGTGAGAATTTGGTTTCTTTGTAGTTTTATGATTTTTTTTGTAGGTTTTGTCATTGAACCCTTGTATATTGTGTTCAGACTGTTCTAAAAAGAGTATTAACATCAATCAAAACATGTTAATACATGGTGGCAAAAATGGATGCTTGTGGTTGAATTCAGCTTTGTTTTGTTTTGTTTTTGTTTTTTTGTTTTGTTTTGTTTTTTTTTTTTTTGTTTGTTTTTTTTTTTTTTTTTTATGCATAGAACCATATGATTTAGATTCTTTGTTCATTATAAAAATTTGGTCAACAAAAATTTAAAAATATATTCACAATTAATAAATTCAAAGTTTAAGTAGAAATTACATGTTTTTTTTTATATATATAATATGATTCTTATATACTATACATATATTATTATGGTATATAAATATTAAAAAACGTTAATGAAAAAAATGTTTATACAACAATCAAATTACATTATCTTATAAATTTCTATAAGTTAGATTTGATGTGCCATTGGTTATTTATGATTATTATATAGACAACTAAAAGGATATATATATATATATATATATTAACAAAATTGAGAATAGAAAGAGTTAGTAGTCAGAATGTAATATTTTGAAATATGCATAGAGCTATTTCACATGCCAAATGCTATTGACAAAAGACATAAAGTTTTATAAAATCATAAAACTGATGTCATTTGTATGTTTTATAACATGTAAATTATACATCAAGTATGCTATTGTACAATAAAAGTTTAGTAATGTCCTTTTGTGAACTACTTTAATTTTACGACTATTTAATTTTTTTAAGGTACATAACTCATGGATTATGATCATAGTCCTTTTTAAAAAAAACATGCAATTGAATATATTTATATTAAGTGTGCATATATATATATATATATATATAGATACACACACACACACACACAATATTTTTATTGCCACCATATTTTTTTCTATTGTCACTACAATCCACCATTCACACACTCATATATATATATATATATATACTTTTATTATTTTATTTTATTTTATTTTTTCAATAAAATATAATTCAATCAAATGGTTTGAAAGGTATTAAACAAAAAAGATTAAATTATTTTGAATTTTTTTCACAAAGATGGCATGTGGTGGATGGAGGATTAAAAATTGCAATGAGAATAACAATATCCTATATATTTCTAAAAATATTTTAAAGTTATTACAACTCAAATGATTGAGCATGATATCATACATCAAATTCAAACACACATTATGCAAATGAATTGGACTATTTTTATTTCTAAATCACTTATTATACCAATAAACATATTCCAATAAGCAATAAATAAATTAATGAATAAATAAAACAAATAAATAGCATATTAGCAATCTTCATGAAAATTTCCTCCACTTGAACACCTAATTTTACTTCACTTCCACTAGAATCCTAAAAATGCCAAAGAGACCAACACCACAAACACAACATTTATGAATTAATTCAATTACCATAACACCCGAACATGGTATACTCAGAATCATCTCAAAGGCGAGATTGACTAATCGCCTTCAACTTCCAAAATTACACCCCCAAAATACCTCGAATATTTGGTTGTTTCACAGAGAATGACGCGGGATAAAAAATGAAACCCAGATCAGACTGTGGCCCAGTCAGATTGACCGGGCGCACCAGTCGCATGAGCAGGTGGAGCCCCCCCCCCGTCCAAGGGGGTAGAGAAAGAGCCCGTGACGTGGAAGACAGCGTGGCGAGCCAATGACGTGGCCTGGCCAGAGGGTAAATTTGACGTGGCAGAGGGGGAAATCCCGGTGGGGGGGGGGGGATACATGGCAGGTTCTGGAGGGGGGCGGAGGAGAGGGGGCTTCGCAGTTTCACGCTTGTAAGGGAGAGCGAGAGAGTGAGGGAGTCTATATTGGTCTTCCATTTCATTTTATAGCCTTATTATTCTTCCTTCCCATGCGCTCTCTGTTTGTTTGCAGGGAGTGAGTGAGTGAGTGGCAGCGTAGATTGATTGCCACCAGGTGGTTGATATATCCATCCAACTAGGGTTTGTTTGTTTGGCACCAACTGAGGTTGTGAGCGCCCTTGTTGTTGTTGTTGCTATCCATATCCTTCTCCAGCACTTCACTTGACCCTCTCCCTCCTCCGCAACCCCTTCCTCCTACTTATTCTACATTCTCTACACCTCCCTCCCCCTCCCTTGATTGATTGGTCGCATCTTGCGCGTTGTGTGACGGTTTTGAAAATTGGTAGATCCGTGGAGAATCGCCATGGTGAAGCTCACCCTCATAGCAAGGGTGACGGACGGGTTGCCGCTCGCTGAGGGGCTGGACGATGGCCGCGATCAGAAGGATATCGAGTTTTACAAGCAGCAAGCGAAACAGTTGTGCAAAGAGCTTTCTCGGCGCCAACATGAGGCCTCCCGGATGTCTGTGGAGACCGGGCCTTTTTTTTTCCAGTATCCTTACTGTCGCATGCGTGGTTGGGATTGTATCCGATCTTTGGGGCGACCATCGGTTTCGTGTACCGTCTTTGGCTAGCGTTATTGTTTGTGGCTTGGCGTTGGAGATGAGCGTGCGTGCGTAAATGTAGATCGGATCGGCTTGGCGTCTATGTTGGTGTTTAACCTATTTGGGGTTACACGATGGACTTCATTTTTGATAATTTGAAACGAGTCTGTTGTGTCTTTTGTTCAGCACTAGATAGTTGTTACTTGTTTGTCATGTTTTCTCTCCTGGACGTGTACTTTTGGTAATGTCACACTATTGTGCATTTAAGAGTTTCTTCAACAGAATTTCAGCTACATTATAGAAGGAGGTGTATGTTATCTTACTCTCTGCGAGCGATCATATCCGAAGAAACTTGCGTACCAGTACCTTGAGGAGTTGCAGCGGGAATTTGAGAAAGTTAACAGGTCCCAAATCGAGACGGTTGCGAGACCTTATGCTTTCATCAAATTCGGTAAGTTCCCAATGAGTACTGCAAATTAGGTCCAGCTTGGGTATGTCGACTGACTTTTTTCACTAAGAACCAACGTTGTTTTTTGAGTCTGCTCTGTGCAGTTTGGTCTGCCATATTCGTGTTTTATTCGCGGTTATTGCGCCCTATTCTCTACATAGCCGATTCAGATTACCTTTTCACATCCAGCACGTAAGATTTTGGTTTTCACCGTTCAAATTTGCAGATACATTTATTCAAAAGACTAGAAAGCTCTATCAGGACACTCGAACTCAGAGAAATTTGTCTAAGCTCAATGACGATTTATACGAAGTTACCCAAATCATGACTCGCAACATTCAAGAGGTTTTGGGCGTTGGAGACCGGCTTGACCGTACGTATATATTTTGTTCGTCATTTTTTTCACCCATGGTTGCTTTCCGACATGGATTTTCATGCCTTAAGTTCTGGATTTTCCCAGCTCAAAGCACTAGCTGAACTGTCTGTGTTGTTTGCTGAGCGCTCTAATTGTTTCAAGGTATATATGTAAATTTTTTTTGGGCCTGGAATAAATCTTTTAAATCATGGTAGACAAACTTGCAGATTTAATTATGCAGTCAAAGCAATGCTCTTGCTCTTGCAATACCCACGTTAGGCACTTTTGAGCAAAGGAGAGATGAATTCTTGACGGACAATTTTTAGCATGTGGACTTGGAAGTCCTTGTGACATCAGTTTGGATCTCCTTATCAAGGAGTCCCTGCTCTTCACCAAGCTTAGTTCTCAAAGATGCACTGTTTGCACCATGGCACTGGTGATACAAGATTGCTTGAATACTTCTTCAACCAGATCTGTACACTTAACTGACAGTATAATGCTTGTGTATCCTGCAGAGGTGAGCCAGATGTCGAGCAGATTGTCCACAGAATCCAAGTTCTATGCAGACAAAGCAAAAGATCTGAATCGGCAGGTATGTAATCTCCTTCAGCTAGATGAGGTGGCGCCTACATTATGTGCTCCTTTTTTCCTTTTTCTACGAGGACTTCGACCTCATACTGCTTTATCCGTTTATAACAAATGTGGAATTACCTTGCGCTACTTCCTTCTTTTAGTTATAGCTGACATGAACTCTGGGTTCTGATTTATCTTGTGGCAAACATTCAGTATCTTAATTGTAGTTTGCGAATGCCCATCCGATTGCTCATCCTAATCACTGATTCCTGGATTGTGTAACATCATTGCAGGCTTTGATAAGAAAATGGGCACCTGTTGGGATTGTACTTGGGGTGGTGCTACTACTTTTCTGGTTTCGTCGATTGTTCTGGAGTTAGCAAATTCTCGAAGGTGAGGATAGGAAGCATCTTACGGACCATTCCCAAGGTCGTATAAGTTGGAATTCTTTCATCAATAGTCGCCTTATAGTCTGATAGAGCATCTTCTCGTTCCGTTGAGTTCCTGTCTACATGATCCTCCTATTCCGCGCATCACAACTGTGAAGATGTCAGTCTTAAAAGACTGTTGAATTTGGAAGAGTCGAATGTGTTGACTGAGTTGCGACTGAACGTCAACTTCATGTACGTTTAAACTGAAGAAGGTCTTGTAGGTCACTTAGTTATCTTTAGCCTACCTAAACAGTATGACTCAAGACGGTCATCTCTCGAGTCCGAGTCACCAACGTAGCAATCAACTGTAAGTGCTTACATTTTTTTGCGGTTTGAAATAGGGAATTCTACTCAGTGGTGGACATGATTGACTTGTTCTGGTGCTTCTTTCCCATCAATAAGTTTTTCTAATGCGTCGAATTTCATTCTGATAGGATGATGATTATCATCCATAATACACATTTTTTGAACTTGTTTCTATCTCTCAACTTAGTAGTTCATCATATTAGTCTCATTGCTGTCGTGGGCCATATTTTCTTTGTCTTTCGTGATGAGCCTCCGTCGTTTTTTAAATGTCAGACAGTGGTGATGATAAAGTTATACTTTTCGTTGTCATTTCTCTGTTGCATAGGTATGGAGCTACCTGCAACGCTTGTAAGTTTCGGCATGACCTGATTCTTGTGTTCTTGGGATTGCAAATGGTAGCGACTTGGACATTTTGCGTATTGTTTTAGGTCAAGCATTATCACTCGATTACAAGCTGTGTCGGTCTCTAAATTGTTTTTAAACTTTTTCAGTCCACAATTAAAATTATCAAATGGACATGTTTGTACAATTGCACTGAGGTGTATCTCATGCAGATAGGTTGCAAGTTCTATTAATAAAAACAAAGACCACTGGTTTACGCCAATCTAATCCATAGTCAATCGTTGATTTCATGATTGGGAATGAAAATCGCTAAGTATTAATCGGCATAAACATCAAGTTCAATGTTATGATCCTTAATATATTTGTATGCATATATGTAAATGTTTTGACAAGTTCTTTGTATTTTACATAAAACTTAGGAAATATGAGCAACATGGTTATATGTATTTGTTTAATTATAAAATTATAACAACAATCAAAACTATTCAATGATGGGAATTTCAAATAACATAAAAAAAAATGTTAAAGATATTATTGTGCTACATAACATGATTAGTCAAGGTACATAAAATGTCGACAAGAATGTTTGTACAGTTGTTCATTTGAGTTTAAAACAATTATTGTTACTGGGTTTTGTTTCTGATTTGTCGAAATTACAACTGAATTCTGTAAAAACATCTTAAGTTTATTTCATATTGTTATCTTTATTCTTAGCATTAAATATATGTGTACACACTTATTATTTTATTTTTTTAGTACACATTTGTAATAGACTTTTAAATATTTAAGAAGTGAACTTTTGATTGCTGTAAAACTGGCTTCATTCAATAAACAAATAGAGTAGATGTTGATGTTGAAGTAGGGTATAGTCATATGTGCAAGTAGAATTTAGCACTTAAATCTGCATGAATTTGAATTTTGGTGATTTCCATTGTGAATATTTTTTATTATAATTTTTTTTGGAAATTACAAGTAATTACTCAAACAATTACAATTAAGAACTTCATAAATGCAAAATTTAGGAATTGGTGATGGAGGATGACCTTTCTGGATTGGTGGGAAAGGATGATCTTTTTAAGATTGATGAGGGAGGTTAACTTTCTTTAGATTGTTGAGGAATATATGATCTGGTACAAGAAGATAAAAGCAAGAATGGGCCAATTTAATATTCCCCTTTCCATTTCCAACAATGTATTATACACACACTACTATTACGACCACCTTTACTTATACTCGTATTTAGGTATATTTCCATCACAATAACTGATATTCAGGTTTATTAAAATAGCATATCATTTACTTAATTACCTATATCCACACATCATCATTGTTATTTCAATAATCACGTACATGCACACACACACCATATATTCTTTGTACTTTAACACCAATTTTATTTGTAATTAACACCTTGCAATGAAAAAAAAGAAAGAAAAAAGACATCATATCAACATCGAAACCGTACTACTGATTTATGTATTTTTATTTGTTTGTTTGTTTTTGTCTCCTAATTATGAGTCCTCACACTTTCTTATATCCAGAATACATGAAGGGAGAGGGGCAGTACCTACCACAACACCTACAACATCACGAAACATGGGGCTGCTACAGACCGACCAACCAATCAGGAGGGGGTAGGGGAAGGGGGGTTGCGGAATCTACCTACCATGTTCCCCCCCCCCCCCCCCCCGTGCTAAAGGAAACAGAGGAGGGAGGTCTATCCAGTTGCAGAGAGCGGCTTCGTTTCGCTACACGTCGGTAAGTTGGTTGAGCCTTGAGCTTAGAGAGCTTGTGGTGGTGCTGGGAATGACCTTCCTGGGCTACTCTACTCGACTACTCTGCTTTGCTCGGATGCTGTTTCTCCTCCCTTCATTGTGCTCTTCTGATTTCTCGGCTTTGTCGCGGGAACTCCCTTTTTTCAGTTGCGGCCATTTTTTCCGAAGTCGCTGCAAGGGTTTTAGCGGAGGAGGGGGTTAGGCACGGAATAGATCGAGAGGCGTGGTTACTTGAGAGTGGAAGGGCTCTGTGATTCTTTCATCGGCTGGATAGTGGAATGTTTTGGTTTCTGTTTGGATAATTCTGGTGCGGGAGGTGGAGCTTAACTCTGTTGTTAAGTTTTGCTCCATGGGAATACTAGATTAGTGAAAGTGTTTATCAGTGTGTTCGGCATTTCATGGCGTTGTATGCAGCTTCCTTTTTTTTGGAAGCAGCATGCTAGCCTGCGGTAGAGAGTTCTCTTAATTTTGTTGTAGCAATGATACACTATTTTTTGATGTTTTTGGTTGTGTGTCGTTTTAGTGTTGTGGATTTTCTGCGGCTTAATTGGAACTAAGGGGAGCCATTTGTTGTTATAGGAGTCGAGCAAAGTGGTGGTCAGGGTCCAAAGAATAGCGCCTGACTTACGGTAATTTGGTGCAGGTAATTCATCTTCGTTGGTAGCCGTTTTGGTGTTCACGACTGCCATGGTCTAGGAGACCGTCGTTTTGAGGTGTGATTTGTCCACATTGACTCGCTACCTCAGAAGGAGCATCGCTGCCTCATGGCACCCGCTTCCCGGTCAAGTTCAACATCCGTTGAAAGAAGAAACCTGTTGGAAACTACTCTTAAAGGCGTTCGACTTGACAGAGTTTGCTGGGAATGTCCAAACCCTAAGGGTTTTGGTGTACAGAAACTCATGGCCAATGAGCACATTTTAGGTGTGCTCAATGCGGTTGAGAATACAGTTCAAAATGCTTACACAGGTTGGGAAGAAAAGCGTCAGCTGGGATCTCGCTCGAATATGTTTTGCAAAATTGAGTTGCCTAATGCGTGGAGATGGAAGGGGCGTCAAGCAGCACAAGGCAGTGAGCAAGGAAAGCCTGTGAGAACTGCTTTCTTGTCTACCAGGTTCAGCACTGCCTCTATGAGCATGTGATCCTTTTGTTCTTGCTTTGGGGGTATTATGCTACCGAAATGTATGACATACCATGTGTGACTTCCTTTTCGCGTCCACAAAACTTATAGTTCTGGGTAGTGACCTGAATTTCTCATGAATGTCTCGGCTATCTAGAATATGTCGTATCTTTATTTTATGCACCAGTAGCGAAACTGTGAATATTTGCACAGTCATCCATAATGAACTCTGTGATTTGTGAGCTCTAGTACTTTAGTGAACACCTACGAGAAGCCATTAGAAGCCAAGGTGATTTTTTTTTCCACGTGCGGGTCCTCAGCGAGCTCGTCTGACTCCCAATTCAATCACTTTCTTTCCAGCATATCAACGTTTTCAGGCGCAACAACCGCTAACGCAGGTTATGTAGCGGGGGATGGTAGTCAGGAGATGGAGCGGGTGGAGGCACATTTTAGAGTTCCAGAGGTTCCTGGCTTTGGTAAGTTAATGAAGCATCCACTAGCTCTCGTAAGCTTCGTACCAAGGGAGTTGGCCTTGTTCTTCGCCGGAGCTGTGGCGGGAGCAGCAGCAAAGACAGTCACCGCTCCATTGGATCGAGTGAAGCTTCTTATGCAGGTTCGTAATCAAATTCGAAATGTTTCCTGATTTGGTGCTGTTGGAATTACAGTGGTTCGCCGTGCATGGAGACGTTAGTGTAGTAAATTCAGTTACTGTTGTTTCTAATCAATGTTAAAATGGTAGCGATCGCAATATTTCGGGGAGTGCTTACAACTTTACACAACTTTGCCAATTGCATATATTTTTTTTTTAAAGTCAAGATTGGATGTGCAGGTGCATGGTGTTCGAATGGCACAGGAAGGTAGCAGACAGGGCATTGGACTATTACAGGTACACAAAATTGAATTCTGTCAAGTTTCTGTTGCAGTGTTGCAATTTTCTTGAACTTGTGTGCTTATCATAATATGGAAGTCTTCATTATTTTTTGCTTTTCAGAGAGCTCTGCTCATGTACCATTCTTGGTTGCAGGCAGTAGCTCAGATAGGGAACGAAGAAGGTATTGCAGGGTTTTGGAAAGGAAATGTCCCACAGGTACTTGATCGAAGTATGAGCAGCAGTTAAGGTTTTAGGTCATGATTGTTTGTTGGAGCTTTTGAAGATTTTTTGGTGCAACTTTGAATTAAAAGAATCTGCATTCCAGTTCTCGTATCATTCCCACCTGTAACTCAAGTCGAACAGTGCTACATGAATTCAAAATAAATTTTCTGGTTCAACCGAGGACTGTCAATGTCTTTCAACAGGGTCATCTGCTCTAATTCCTAACAAAGTACCTTCTCTACTGGACCAACTTTCTTGGTAAAACGTCTTTCCTGTCAGTTGCTGCTTCTGAATAAGATCTGACCATTCTGATATGGGATATGTGCAGGTTGTCCGTGTCATACCTTACAGTGCGGTGCAACTTTTTGCTTATGAGGTTTACAAGGTAACATTCCTCATTGATTACCTTGATTATCTGGAAGCAGTCGGGCGTGTCTTGGGTGGGTTTTTGTCTCGCAGATTACTGAAGTGATCATGTGCCAGTCTGTGTTGATAGATGTATTTCTGATATCCAGTATGCGGTGTCTTTGGGTCCCAGAAATTGTTCAAAGGTGACAATGAAGAACTTCCAGTTGTTGGTAGACTTGCTGCTGGCGCATGTGCGGGGATGACCTCCACTTTGGTAAGATTTGCAGTCTATGAAGTTGGGACTCATTCATCTGAAACGTGTGTGAAGCATTTTTCTTCCAAATCTTTTTGCTGTCCTTTCTGAAATCTAGGTTTGTGCGAGCACCGAAAGCTTGACCTCATTGTGGGGCGCTTCCGTTTGTTCTTAATAGTAGACAATTCTATCGTCAAAGGGTGAGCGTGGAGAGCTTTGTGTATAGTGCTTCTTTATAAGAGTTATTGTATACATCACAGTTGCCTCTTCTTGTCTACTTTACCCCTCGAATCCCAATTTAAATTTGCACAGTAGATGTAAATTAGTTGTAGACTACGGTACTCTGTTAATGTGGAATAAAGCTGTAATTTCTTAACACGATTTGTGTTATTACTCGCTTTCAGGTGACATATCCATTAGATGTTTTGCGACTGCGGCTGGCTGTGGATCCAACTACCAGATCTATGGGTCAGGTATATTTGACTTCTACATGTCTGTCAAGTTGAAATGCTATGTGGATATGCAAAATCCCATAACCTTGTATAGTGCCTCTAATTTGATTGTTTCCTCTTTTAGGTGGTTGGAACAATGCTTCGAGAGGAGGGGTTGAAGTCTTTCTACAAAGGGCTTGGACCATCTCTGCTGGGCATCGCACCGTACATCGCTCTAAATTTCTGCGTGTTTGACTTGTAAGTCCTCCTGCGCAAGTGGTCACGAGTCTACATCTGTTGGAAAGGATTTTTCAAGAGCTTCTATATGACGCAATGTGTTAGTAATATATCTGATGCTGACCTATCAGATGGCTACCTGTATTCCCGGTTGTATATATCAGGCAGGTAGTGCCAGGTTTCTGGGTTATACCCACGCGGGGTTGAATAATTATTATTTTTGGTATTTCAGAGTGAAGAAATCTCTTCCAGAGGATTTCAAGAAAAAACCTGAAGCGACGTTCATGACTGCCTTGGTATCTGCCTCTTTTGCGACGGCCATGTGTTACCCGCTCGATACTGCGCGGCGACAAATGCAAATGAAGGGCTCGCCTTTCAACTCTTTTATGGATGCAATTCCAGGTTTTCCCACTTACATGTCCTTGCAGATGAATTTAGAAGGATGAATAATATCCACTACATATTTCCATTTTCTAATTTTGGTTAACAAATGCATGTTTGCATCACAGCATATGGTATTGTGTTCTTGTCTGTTTGAAAATGAATTATCAGAAATTTGTAACCAGTGATTGTCATTAAGTAGTAGTTTATGTCTGATTTGAGTGGAATGATTTTTTTCAGGTATCATTAATCGAGATGGTTTCTTTGGACTGTATCGTGGTTTTGTTCCAAACGTGCTGAAAAACCTTCCTAACAGCAGGTATGGATTGTATGTTAACCATGAAAGGTTGAGCTAAGTGATATAGGTAGATATAGGCCATGTTTGTGCATGTCAATGCCCATTAAGTCGTGGAAAGATGCTCATTAGTCTCCGTCAAAAATATGATCTTTGAATATCATTGTATCTTCAGTAGTTGAGATTGATCCCAAGTACGTTGATTTCTGTTTACCATTCTTGTATCTCTACTCAAGTTCAGTTTTTGAGGTTTTCACGCAGTCTTGAAACGCAGAAGACACTCTAATTTTCTCCTTGGAATCAACTTCCACTTTTACTCCATCTTCGCATCGAGATTTTGACATTTCTCAATTTTTGTTCTGACAGCATTCGCTTGACGACTTTTGATGCCGCCAAGAACCTAATTAGCGCTAGCCAGGTGGAATACCAGAAAGTCCTTGAGGAGCATCAGAAATCCTTAACCAACTCTTAGATTTAGAAAGAATTCCAATTCATTCAAATATTTCAGATTTTAAGTCACAGTTTGTGGCTCGAGTAGCAGCAGCCATTTTCATCATTCTATTCAAGATCCTTCTCCAACCGCTGGGTGAGAACTTTTGCAGGCTAGGATATGTTGCTTGAGCAGACCTTCATGTCGGAGTAATTGGTTATTGATAACACATTCAGTTATCCACGCAGATCTTCCACCGTGATCCGACGTGTTTTACCATCTGTATACTATTATTCAGAATCGAGTGTCTACTGACCATTTAATTTTGGATAGAGACGTATTGTGTGGTGCACAGGCAGAGTGATGTTCAGACTTTTTGATGTCTGTTATCTACGAATGGACATCTTTTGACAAACCATGTGTACTACATCTATTATTTTTCGTGGATTGTTTCTTGCTTATTGTTTGGGTGCTCTGGCCTCTCATGAAGCCCAGCACACAATTTCTGGCCTTGAAATAGCGAAGGTGAATAACAAAAGCTGAAAGAACTTCAGAAAATGTTAATTCGTGATTGTTCATGTTAGACCTTAATGACAATCAATTCCCGATTTTCAGATATCTGGTTGAAAAACAAGTGCGGATTCAAGCGGTTCATGTTTCTCACGGTTTCAACGGCTAGGTGAATATTTCGACAGAATTTTTGTTTGTCTTTCCTGTCCTCATCATACTCGGTTTCGACAACCAAATAATTCTCTCCCTCCCATTAAGCCCAGCACTTAATCCTACACTGCAACTCTGTGTGTATCTCATGTCATGAACATGGCCCTTGTGACGAGGACATACATTTCTCCACTAAGTTCTCTTCGAATGGGATTACATGTGCTATGAATGCATCATTATTGTCAGAGATGATTAGTGAGTAAGCGGGATCCGAGTGTTGAAACATGAAAATTTCTTGTTCTATGCTCGACATGCTCTTCTACCAGTATACATGTGCTGTGTTTTTTTGTTACCAGCAATTTGATCAGAAATTGCTTCATAATGGACAGACTCTCTAGCGTCATGACAGGTGAAGAAATACCACAGGATACTTCGAATGCATGGCCAATTCGGTGCTCAAGACTACCTTCAATATTTCTGAGAAGCGTGAAGAGGATCTCAACAAACTCGTCGGTGATGACTTCGTAGTTTTAGCAAGTAACATCCCAGCCCTACTGTCAATTCGACATGCTTTACTTCCGAACCATGCGTATAATAAAAAAAAATCCTGCATCTCAGGTGTTCGCTTCTTTAATGAAACCTCGCAAGGATATAGATATCTTCGAGTTGGCTGTATTTGTGTACTTCAAAACCACGTGAAATTCCTCTTTGAAGACATGTTAGATGATTTGGTACTGAAATTCTGTTGATTTCACGCCTTAACTACCAGGACTCAAGACATCTTGTCGCATGTTCACCATAAAGAGATACTCGACGATAACATGCACAAGCTTCATGAGGCTCTTGACGTTGTCGGATAACAACACTGAAGCACTCAGTCTCCCACAAAAGCAGTCATTGAAGCTGATATTCGATTTCTTCAATGAGACTTTTGACTGCAGTTGAAGCAGTAGCAAGATTTGTTTTGTGCAATACTTCTTAAGCCAAGGTGGGTATGGACAGTATAAACTAGTTCGTTGTCATAGGTTTGTTGCAGTTAAATGGTTAAACTTAAGCAGACTTTTTAAAGCTAATTCTGATTTTCAAGAGAGGATAGAAACTCTAGCTATCTATCTACATTCATCCTGGCTTAATCAGAAGTAATTAGAAACCCTAAACCCTGAATCTTAAACCCTGAATCCTAAACCCTAAAATGCTAGAACTTTTGTTGGTACTTTTAAATGAAAATATATGGTTTAATTAATTTAGATTATTTTATAAAAGAAAAAGTTTTCTTAGAAAAGGTTCCATGTGCAACAAACTTGTTCACTATGTAAACTAGTTTGTTGTCATAGGTTTTTGTAAATGAAGTATTGAACTACCAAAATGTCTCAGAAGTCTAAAAATCTTTTAATGAAAATAAAAATAAAACAAAAAAAATCTCAAAGATTATGAAAAGATTTTAAAAGTATGTGGAAGATTATAACATATGACATAAGATAACTAAAGATTCTATAAGCTTTTCAAAATCAAAATAGTCATAGGAATATTCGAAGATTCTAGAAAATTTTAAAAGGTACTAAAAGAATTGTTTATTGTATAGACATAACATTACATTTTCTCTCCAGAAAAAAGTTGTATAAGGAACTTTAATACTTTAGTAGTAAGATTTTTTTTAACAATTTGATTTGAATTTAGGCCTTTGAAGCATTATAAAAAAAATAGATGTCCCTACTTCTATGTTTAATGCTATACAATATTAGATATTTATGTGCTACAAGTTTGTATCATTTTATAAATAACAATTTCTTGTAGCGCAATCAAATTAAATATTAAGAATTTTTAATATGCTTTTAGTATCAAAGTGTAAAAAAAAAATAGATAGATTTGCCTAAATTTGCCAGAATTTGTCTAAAGATACTTGATGAATGATTGTAGATAAGTTTAATCTTTAACACCTTAAGTTCTTTGATTGCTAATTGTTTGTTTGTATGTTTGTATGTTTTTTTCTTTTTCTTTTTCTCATAAATGTATCTACTAATAGCTAGAAATTTATTTCACTACTCCATTTATTACTAATAGCTAGAAATCTATTTATTTGATTATATCTTTTATCAAAATAAAGATATCACTCCAATATTTAGTGGACATAATTTTTTTGACCAATGATTTCTATGGATAATTTTTTTAAATATAAAAATTAATAATAATTTCTAAAAATTTAATCAATATTTTCTAAATTATCATAATAAAAAATAATATATCTTATTTCAAACCTTTTATAGAATCTTTTAGAAATTAACATCTATTTTAAAAAATAATTGCTTAATTAATATTTAAAAATAAAAATAATAATCTGTATAAATTCTATTAACATTGCAACACCTATGATATTATTTTATAATTAATATTAGTCAATAATTTAATCATAAATGATATTTATTATTCACTATCAAATATGAATAGAAAGAAGAAGAATCTAAATACCAATAAGTCAAGCTATCTCTCACACCACAAAAGGAGATTCCAAGAATGCAAGTGTAAAAAGAAGAGAAACCCTAAAACTTTACTATATGACTAATCATTATAACCAAGCAAAACCCATATAAGAATTGACTTAACAAGAATGTCAAGTCAAGGGATTTTTCTACTAAAGTATTCAAATCCTAGTTGATGTTGATAAGTCAATTAATGAAAAAAACTAAATAGATGGAAAATCCACTAAATCAAACTAAACCACATACATTAGACAAGATTTGCTACCCAATCCCACATTGGTAACAATAAAGAAGAAAATAACATTACCAATTTTTTTTAATCAAATTGTTTCACTAATGATTCAATTAAAGACAATTTCTCATCCAAGCCAATAAAAAAACACACACACACTCACATTGTAATAATGGAGTGGTCACGTTCCTAACATCACATTACCATTACTTTCCACATATTATTGTGGCGTCCTTTTAAGGGTCTATTCGTCCAGGGTTGAAGTCCGTGACCTCTATTGATAACCGGGTACCATTATTGATCGAAACCCGTTCACACCGCCACCAGAGATTCGTTGCTGCGCAGTAATCTCGGAGGGAGCGCGCGGAGGCCGTGACCGAGGGAGGGAGGGAGGGGGGCCCTTTCTCCGCGCAGGACCAGAAGGAGGACCTGAGGCCACGGTGACTGCTCCCTCCTCTCGCCACTCCAGTTGTAATGCCACAACCTCTCTTCCCCAAGTTTTCTTGAGTCTTCTTTCTCGGCCATCTCCGTGTTCTGCTTCTCGCTTGGCTCTGTTTGTGCATTTCGCTTCCAACTGAAATTTCTCCCCTCTCAGCTCTGTTTGTGGGTTTTCGGAATTGGGTCGCAGCTGGACTGCCGGAACTCGGCACCATGTGGACAATCGTGGACATTTCCACTCTCGAGGCGCGGAACGGAGTCAGGCTGCGGGAGCTGACTCGTTTGAGATTCGTAGTTAGGGTTAGGTTGTGTTAGAGTGTTGCTAAGAATTGGGGTTTTTTTTTTTTTTTTTTTTTTTTTTCCCTTCCTTTTGGTTGGTTGGTTGGTTTTTAGGTAGGTGATATGCTGCATTGGTTGTCAATGGACATTGGGTGATGTGGTGTAATTAGGCTTTTCGGTGGCGGAAGGTAGCAAAAGTGAAAGCATTGGGATTTGACTGGATTGCCCCCCCCGCGGAGTTTGAATGGTGGACGACTGCCCTGTGCACAACATGGTAAAAATCTTGGCTTTAGACTCCTCTCATCGGTCGTTTTGGTTGCAATAGAGCTGTCCCTATGGTGTTTGGGTGTAGTCGGAGAGGGTTGCCTAGCATTTCACTTGGGAGCATGCTTGCTTCCGTGTGAGAGCCAGTTGGCTATCGTCATGTACCTTTCAGTAGCTTTTTATGGCAATCGTGTTAAGAAGATATGATAGGTCAGATGAACGAAGACGAGGGAGTCTTTTGAGATCATGGAGAGTTCGCTGAAAACGGAGACGTGTTTGCAGTTTTGGACTAATCGTTGCTCGATATCACTCTCGCTATCTCGTTTTCTGCTATAAAGTCATAGTATGGGCCCAGACGACTGTTATTTTGCTGCTCTTTGAAATAAATTGTGTTACTCCCTGGCTCAGCAACTCTTGAGAAAGACTAATCACAGTTTCTGGAAACGCGTTCGCTGTTTTTATGAACATTTAGTATTGATCAAGAGCACACATTTCATATCTTCCTATTTTCATGTGTTCAGCGCTTGAAATAGATAATATGCTCTACAAGTGCTAATAGACTGTCTTATCAAGTGATTGCTTTGTTGTGGCATGTTGTTTGGTATAGCAGGCCCAGTTTGACATAGTCCAGGCTGAACCGACAGCCCTGCTCTATAAGAGACCCGATGGCGTAGCGCTCGTCGGCAGGGAAAACCGGAGGTTGAAAGAGCTTTTCAAGGATTTCGGAGTTCAACCGTCAACTGTTGCAGTCATGGGACAGATGGGTTTCACGTTGAGCACGCTGATCAACATGAAAGACGAGGAAGTAGATTTTGTAATTAAATCTATGATCGAGGAATATCACTTGGATCTCTTGATGGGCGAACAGTTTGGTATTAAGGCGGCTGTTAGGGCCAAGCGGAGGCTGGTTGAGGAGGAGATGGAGCAACAGCGCATGGATTTGGCTGCTCGAAGCAATGAAAAGAAACGTAGGCTAGAGGAATCGTCTGATGGTTTACTTTTGAAGGATGGTGAGTACGTCATTTTGATCACTTCCTCCAAGCTGATGTTGGCAATTGTCGGATGGTTTCGTGACCTGCAGATCTTAAAATGTGCCGTCTTTACTTAGCGAATGGCTTAATTCTTATTCATTTTGTGGAGTGCAGGCAATGGTTCTCTGGAAGCTTTGGGACTATTGGGTCTGACTGATCCCGACAGTGACAGTGAGGGCAAAAAAGTTGCTAAAAGAAGACAGAGGAAAAGGCGGTCGAAGGAAGTCGGAGAGGACGGAGAGGAGAGACCCCGTGAACATCCCTTTATTGTGACAGAGCCTGGTGAACCTGCCAAGGGAAAGAAGAATGGTTTGGATTATTTGTTTGATTTATACGAGCAATGTGGGAAATTCTTGGAGGAGGTGCAGCACATTGCCAAAGAGAAAGGGGAGAAGTGTCCAAGTAAGGTATGTACTGAGAGTATTATTATTGGAATCTCTACTGTCTAGAGATTAAGAAGAGGGTAGGTGAAGTTCAGGCAGAATTATACTTCAAGGTTCAACTTCTATTGTGGATCATTTTATCTAATGCGGTCGCATTTTCTGACTTGCCTACGTACTGTAATAGCGATGTGAATACCTGGGAATCACGCTGTAACAACCATTAATGTGTGTCTCAATGTAGGTCACCAACGAGGTTTTCCGTCACGCAAAACTCACTGGTGCTGGCTACATCAACAAGCCGAAGATGAGGGACTACGTGCATTGCTATGCGTTGCATTGTCTGGACGTGGAGACATCAAATAACCTTAGGAAAGAGTACAAAGAGCGTGGAGAAAATGTTGGTGCCTGGTGTCAAGCGTGCTATTTCCCTCTAGTTAAATTAGCAAGGCAGAATGAGTGGGATATTGATGACCTCTTTAATCGGAATGACAAGCTTCGGATCTGGTATGTCCCCACGAAACTCCGGCAATTGTGTCACATTGAGAGGATGAAGCACGGTGAATGAGCCCTTGTACATTAAATAGTATACTTATGTCAAGGTTTGAGGTTGGAGTAGTTCTTCATTCTAAACTTACATTGTATCGGATTCACATTTGGAGTCTCCTGGAACACACGGGTAGGATTACACATTTTATGTACGGGGTTACTGCACCAATCTACACACTTTGTTTTTAATGTAGATGACAGGCTTAATTTTGTACAGGAATCTGTAGAAATCTCTGTAGGTTGTGCCCCCCCTGTCCTTTTCATAGTTGCAATATATCATAATTACAATTGCAATTAGCAATTACTGGAATCTAAGCTATTTATACAGCGTGTCTAACCCTAAGGCTTCAAAATTCCCAAATTTGGTCGTCGAATGAACCGTCTTGTTAACCAAAATGACTCTCCGTTCACACGCCTAAACCGTTTAACCCAGGCGACTTTAATGGAAAGTGGAAGAGAAATTTGTGTTGCGCTTCTGAGGTGGGCAGGTCACTGATAACGATTAAAACAGCCTTGATGAATTCTCATGGAAACAATGATCAGAATCAGAGGAGGTGATTAAACGTGGACTTAATCCGGACAAAGTTTTCATAGAATTAGTAAAGCGATTTGCTCCTCCGAGGACATCAAAGAACTGGGTTTACAGGGAGGACGGCAGTGATCAGCTGCGGCCATGAGATCTTGACCAATAACATCGTAATTAGCTGCATCAGAATCGTGAAATTATAACTGTAACAAAGCTTACTTCTCCTTGGATATGGTATTACTGGCATCATCCTCGCTTTGGCTGCAAGAGTCCGTAAGATCGATGTTCGTAGAGTTCGTTTGATCTTTGATGCAGAGTATCACGACACAGTACTCTCTTTCTCTTAAAGAATTGGGTTGATTTAGTACTAAATGTTATTCTAAACTCCATAATCTATAAGTGGTTTAATCTCTCTTGCATGTCTTGGACAAGAACCCACACCTTTAATTTTAGAAAAGAAATCCAGGAAGAGGTTTGCTTGTTGATAACCTGTCTATGCAGAATATCATCACTTTTTCGCAAATAGAAATTGTAACGTACAAGAATATATGGTGAGTTTAAAGAAGTTTAATCTAACTATTGCTTCTATGGTAATCTTATTAGTCAATTTTAGAAAGTTCAGAACCTGAGAATTATTTTTACTAATTTCTATTCAATGTGGTTTACAAAGTATAAAAGAATAGTATTAGGAAGATATTTCTTTCAAGCAAATTAATGTAATGATTTATTTTTTCAACATTGTAGTAAAAGTCATATGCTTGTTAAAACATCAAAATAAATTGTACTGTGTTTTTAATTAAGATTTTAATAAAAAAAATATTTTTTACTAATAAAAAAAGTGCTGTTTTAATTATTCTAAAAATACATCTAATCAGAAATTAGATGTTTTGAATGCAATCAAGTTGTATCAACAAATCTAATTATCCAACATTCTGATATTCAATGTTCTTTTTAAACTTAGAAAGACAAAATATTTTTAGGGGAATGTTAAATCGACTCATGCTTTTACTAAATTGACCCATTCATGATGAAGAATATGGTAATCATAATGAATGTGGTTGATTTTCATTAATTATATAGATTTAGCAATAAAGAAATAAATTTATAGATATTTTTTATATTTTAATTTTTTTTATTATCATAATGGTTAGAATGGGTGGGTCAATTTAATAAAAGCTTGGATCTATTTAACGTTCTCCTATTTTTATTATATATATAATTAATATATAACATTTATTAGGTAAAATGAGAATTTAAATTGCTTACTTTGAGAGATATCTTTTGATACAATTCTTTGTGAGTTTTAGATCATTGTAGATGTAGTTTTCCTTGATTGTAGTAGATCCATCCAATCATAAGCTTCCAAATCTCCATTACTTTTAATATGGTTGTCTATATACTTCTTTAATAGTATATGTCTAAAAAATACTTAGTAAGGTAAAAAAAAAAAAAAAAAAAAAAAAAAAAAACTTGTCATAATTTATTCATAGTTTGTTTTTTGCTACTTCTTGTGCTAATAACCACTCAAGTTGTCATATTCTTCCATCAATTTAATTCTTGACTATATCTTTCTATTTTTAAAAAAAATACTTATATTGGATGTTATCTTTTTTCTATTGCATATCTTGCACAACTTATTTCTAACAAATACTTCCTTATCATCATAAGTTTATATATATATATATAAGCAATTTTCTACCTTTAAATAGATATATGATTTATTTAAAGAATTTATAAAAGATTAAGATAAATTTTATAAATTTATCCATATAAGAAACTTTACTTCATGCAAATAAAATAAAATAAAATAAAACAAAGAGTATTATTATTAATTTAAAAACATAATAAATTATTCTCTAAGAAATTATACTTACAAGTTGTATTTTTTCTCATTTACAATAAATTGTGTTTCTAAAGTAACTTCACCTAATATAATATATAAGATAAATTTAGGATTTTGCTAATGCCACCACAATTTTTGTTATTGCCACCACAACCTGCCACTTATTCAACATGTTTTTTTAGTCTTTTTATTCCAATCAAAAAAATTGTTTAATCAAATGGTTTGAAAGGTATTGAACAAATAAAATTTGATTGGATTGAAATGTAATGAATAAAGATGCATGTGGTGGCTAAGAGATTTGTAGTGGCAATAGCAAAAATTGTGGTGGCATTAGAAATATCTTACATTTATTACTAATCTCAATTTCACTACCATATAATCTAATATTCTTTAACAATTATAGTTTAGTATAAATTACAATGAAAACATATCTTGCATGTATAACAAATGTAAAATGAGATATTTCTACTGCTTTGAATTAGTCATTTGTTAATGTGTACTAAGTGTTTTACTCTTTGTAGCTTAGGGCAAGGCTAAGAGCAACACAAATTAAGACTAAAATACAAGCCAAACAATGTAATTACATGATTGTTGTTTCATGCACTATTGAATCACATTGTGGCACTTTTAAGATTCCATTTTATTTTATATGTATTCTTGGTCCAATCATTCTTTTTATCACCCATAATTTGTTCGACCTACACAAGAAGCATTTTTCTCATCTTGTTATTAGATGGAGACATGCCACGTTTCAAACAACAATTGTTAAATTACTATCAGATTGTTTGGTTCTGAAGATTATACCATTAGGTTTTCTTTTTCTTTTTCTGCTGAATCTTAATGGAACTATGCTAATATTGTAATTTTTAGACAGTTTAGAGACATTTAACATCATATGATCAACCAGTTGGTTTCATTGTACTATCAGTGTTCCACGTGCATAACAAGTTGGGTTTTGAATCCTGTATCATTTTAAAATAATACTTAAATTTAATTGCGAAATTAGGTCACAAACATCTATACAAAAGAGACAAACACACTGAAAATAAAATATAAAAAATAAGCTCTAATGGAAGATTTTGTTCAAACATATCCCTGTGGATCACCTCCCATCCCATCCCCTGCCTGAATGCCTCCGACATAATGTAGCAGTTTAAAGTCTAGCAAGAGAACATGTTTTTAAAGTGAATACATCCCATTTTCCAAAACAACTGCTTGTGGACAGTTCCTAGAACTTTTCTACTTCAGGGCCTCTTTTCTTTGAGACCAGTATCCTGCCCCTTGCAAATTAAAAGATTTTAGAAGAATGAAAGTAGTTATAAAATAGTGTGGAAGATTCTATAAGGAAGTAAAAGTCAATCTCCATGACATTGTTTTTCTTAACTATGAGTTCCACCAAAAAAGCTTACATTGGTGTTGAGTGATGGAAACTCCCTCATTTCTATCTTATAAATTATCATTCGAGGGCCTCAAAAAAAGTTATTGTCTCTCTTACAAACTATTCACTGAGAATATTCGTTTCACCAAGACAGAACTGTAGTGCGATGCACGAGTTACGGCAGTCGAGCAACTGGCTTCACCAAATGATCACATTACATGACATCCATGTCGCAAATTCACGATCATAAAATCCTGATGATGGAAGTCAAAAAATGCTCAAAATTCATTTTTGAAAAAGATGGTCAAAGTCTTTGGCAGCACCAAAGCTTCATGAATTGTTAAACGAGAGATGCGTTTTAGCAGCCCAACTGTAGTGACAAGATGAATCTATCTTAAGTAGCCCTCACCTAGAACTTGTAAAAGCAACACTATGTAGCTTCGAAAAAAAGCTCTTACACAAAACCAGTTCAAATCAACACCTAAGGACATTCTACATCCAATATTTACCACTACATGCTGCACTATTTCCCCAACTTTCCTCAAAGTAGAGTGGTTCCGAGTGTATGTGCGCAGGTTACTAGATGCTCATGCCACGAGTCCAACAGCCTGCTGAACAAGAACTATCGATAAATAAATGAAAAAGTAAATGCAGTACTTCCAAGCGCAGTACCCACAGAGCATAAGCGGAATGATAAAATTGAGTTTAACACCTGAAGCAATAAGCAAAAAGCTTTAGAGATTTAGAGCTCTTCCAAAAAATATCACAAGCCAGGGCCTTGACCAACATAATTCCGAAAAAGACCACTCGTAACATCCAAAGCAGAATAGCCTGAGTTACAGAACATACCTTGATTTGGAAAAATCGTGTGCAAGGCTTCAACTGCAGGAATCTTTCTTGAGCATTCTTAATTTCCTCAGAAAGATATTCCAGCAGTATGCCTCAAATTCAAAAAGATATATAACCATTGTAACTTTTTCACCCTCTTAATATCTGAATAGAACTTGTCTAATACTGGGGAAAAAAAACCCCTCTTCGAGCCACAAACTCCAGCAAGACAATTCCCTAGCGCCCAGAAACTGCTTTCGAGACTTATAGATAAACTATAGAGAGAGAATCACATAGTATGATCCACCACAAAATTATGGACTGTAGATGCTAACAAGTGCTCTACAAATAGTTCATATATCTAGTCGTGAGTTTTTGTCAAGGACTTGATGTTTCCATCACTACATTTTAATGTGGGATCTTCAAAGAGATGAGTGAAAGCAATCAGATACTGAAAAGCTCTGCATCCAAGACTGCCCAGATTTTAATCCAGTTTCCACACCAGAATGCAAGTAGGGACACCATCATGATATAGATTCAGAGCTTGTCTTGAAAAAGCAACTGGACTGCAAATCTTCCGATACCTTTCATCTGACTCTGTCCAAAAAATCCTCTAAAACACCAAGACTGAATCGAGGGTTCGTATCAAGCTTGCAACGAGCTGACAGATATAAGACCAGCCAACATATAATGAAGTACAATTGGCCAACCGAAACGACCAACATCGAAAGGAAGGGCCCCATAAATTGAGACAGAACCCAGCGAGCACTTCTGCCGCATAAAATACTCTCTAGAAGCTTGACAGCTAGCACCTGTACATGCCCACTAGAATTAGGATCTGAAACACAGATATTGTTAGAATTTGATGTCGCTACTAATATCAGTAGGAACTAAATCCTGCTCAAATCCATTTAACTGAAGCTGACATAAAGTGTAGTTAATATGGAAAACTAATGAAGCAAAATTAAGGTCTAATTGACCTTTGAAAAAATGAAACGAAGTTAAAGTGCACAACAGCACTACAACCCACTACCTCAAGGAGAGGATGAAAGAATTGAAAATAAAACATGCAGATGTATCCTGGTCACAAGTGCCCGAAATAAACACACCTGGTGCTGCATATTGGAGACCAACTTCCATCCTCGTGATAGTGCAGAAAACCCCCAGTATTGCCTCTCCATAATAGTCACCCAACATGCCATGACGTAGATACATGAGATAGCTCCTTCAAGCATATAATCCACGCTCACAAGTCCTCCAATCCGTGCGGCCAATGCCAAGCTAGTAGCCTCAACATCCTTGAAGGGCGCTAGAAACGAGAATGGCATCATAGACAGTCGGAGCACAAGCCGCTCTGCTTTCTCTGGCTCCAGAACTCCACCCCCAACAAAGGACTTCATGATGAACAAAGACATCAAGTCCCGGAAAGTCCCATGAAGAATACCAAGCCATATCAATCGGATCATTCCCAAACGTAAACCAGATTTCACAGCTCGAACCACTCCAACTTGTTTGCCCAGATACGCACTGATAACGCTGTAGGCAACCGTTCCCAAAAGAGCCGCATGTTGCAACATAATCACGGCACAAAATGCCATAAAAGCGCCTGCTAGCACGCTCAGCATAAAGAGCAAGGTAAGACCTAACTGAGGAACTGGTCGGTCAACATTCCTCCCTCCCATCAAACGAGCAGAGGGTACAACTAAACCAACTTTTTCCTCGTACGTATCCTCGAACTCGGTACTTTCATTCTTCCCCAAAACTCTCAACTTAAGGGAAAACTTGGGAAGGGGCTCCATGTCACCAGCACCGTTGGCATTGATCGTTTCCTCTGGGATTTCCTCTGCTCCCATATGAGTCGGGATATCCGCAGTAGTTTGAGGACCCTATAAAATAAATTAAAATTAAAATTAAATAACGATCTTCGAATCTCAGTATCTACACAATTCAGAAACTCTCACATCCTAAAAGTCGCCTAAAACTTAAGCTCTTAGAACTGTAAGAAGGTTAATACCTCAGAGACTTGAGTTGCGTAGTTGGCATGCAAGGCATCCCGCTTTAAAGAGGCCGTTCTTGAATTTGACGCCCTAGTTTCATGCATTGACATTTTTTCCCTGGAATCTGCCAAGCTTTCCATGATAGCTTCATCAAAAGAGGAGAGGAACATAGCTAGGTGTCTTGCCACGAAGCCCTTGTCCTCCGTACCTTCTTTAAGACTACCTTCGAAACTCTCTCGAGATATCTTCAGATCTTGAGAATTGCGAGCATGACCCAGTGAAGAATTGGCAAAGCTATAGTTGCCATCAAGCTGAGCGAAGGCAAGCCCTCGACTCAGCGCGAACGTCTCCATAGCATAATAGTAAAAGGCCGAGACCAAGGCAAGGATGCAGATAGGAACCAAACACATGCGCCATAAGTGGCCCGCCTGCTTCAACACACCCCTCACACTCTGCTCCTCCCGGAGCTCCAGTCTCCCCATCGCCGTAGCTGACAACGGAACTCTACCGTAAAATACTGCTGGTCGCTGCAAGACCTCAAGATGATAACCGCACAGTGCGTCAAATCGTGAAAACGAATAGCCCTGTGTTCACAAAAAAAAAAAAAAAAAAAAAAAAAAAAAAAAAAAAAAAAAAACTCTACAATTCTATCATTTCTCCATAAAACGGAAAAAATATAACGATTCTCAGATCCTGAAGAGCCGCACCGACAAGGGTAAAGTGCCTGCTCTATTCCCGCGACAGTCACACCACGCCACCTTCACAAATCGTCCTGCGCCTCACTTCGCTCTCCACGCTTCAATGCTCCACATGACCGCGATACCGACATTTCCATTCAACACTCACACACACACGCACTACTACAAATACTAATACTACTACTATTACGCGTGCAGGGTAATCCTCTCTCCGCCTCCCTCCCTTCTCTCCGTCCTCCCCTGCAGCAAATCCACCCTCGGGAGCAACCCTATCCTCCTAAACCGCACACCCGTGCCGAACCATCACACTCCCGCTCTGCACACCCAAATCCTGCGCAAATAGGCGCAACAAAACAAGCCACGCCGATGTCAGCAATCACGAGAAGAGAGCTCTCTTCTGGGAAGAATGTGGAAGCCCCGAGAGTTGAAGGGACGTCCGAGAAAAGCCGGTAACAAGAGAGGCTGGCAACACACAGAAAAATAAATAAACAAACTAATAAAATAATAAAATAATAATGAACGAAAAAGCACAAAGCTGACGAGGAGAAGAAGAGAGGTCCCGCGAAGTGGGCAGGGCTGGGACTGGGCTGCAACTGGGCATTGCCGGAATTGGGCTGCAACTGGGCCATCACCATTTGGGGCTAAACTTAGAGAGCGCCGCCAAGTTCTCTTCCTTCCTTCCTTATGCCTAACTTCAGTTTCTCATTGGGTCTTCTTTCTAGGGGTTTAGAGTTGGCGGTAATCAGGAGTTAGTCAGTCACTGTTTTCTAAGTTTAGCTGGTGACTGGTGACTTCTGCCGGTCTGATCACCGGGTAAACGCTTCCCCTATTCCCGTGAAAGCTGGCCGCTGCCTAATGCTAGCTGGAATGGACCCTTTTCTCACTGCAGCCTTGTCTTGTTGCCTGGTGAGCTCCTTGTTTGTGACCCACCCAACCACTCATTTGGGCATTATTTATTATTTGTTATTATTATTATTAATATTATTATTCACATGAAATGCTGTTGCAAACATATTATCATTTCAGCAGAGGAAATGTCTCGTTGAACAATTGTAGTGAATGAACCCTAAAGAAGTAGGGCTGCAAAATATTGGATGGTTTCCTTGAACCAGATTGTACCGTTATCACATTTAAGAAGAGATTTACTAAATTAAAAGTTATCCATGTTTTCAAGCACATTTTTGTACCATGCATTTATACGTAACAATAGTATTCATCAAACCTTCCACTTCATATAATTTAGCCATACACACAAAGAAATATTTTGTAATAATATATTTAAAGGAAGAATTTACAGATAATTTTCAATCCAACATCTTTGTTAGGTGGTCTATCCATTACTTGCAGGATACAGCTCTGATATAATGTAAAAGAAAGTCATATACTCAATATCCTTATAAATCTTAACTAGATTCTAATTAATTTTATTTTAATCTACTAGATTTTGAAAAACAGCAAACAAAAAAAAAACAAACAAAACGAAGTAAGGTACTACAATTGTAACAGTCTTTGTTGTTTTGCTTCTAAACAATATTAATCTCATTATATTCCTATTTATAGTGAATGTTTATATATTTGGTGGAACATCTCAAGGTTGTTTGATATTGTACATGTGTTTTCTATTTACAGCGATTCATTCATCATTAGTTTATTTAATTCCAAGTGTTTTCTATGATATTCTGGACGTACACAGCGTCTGACACCGCTTAAGGAGTAATTTCAAAATTAATACCAGTTAAACCTGCTTGAAAATGTGTATTTAGAAAATGGAAGTGCCATACCAATTTTAGGTATAGGACTCCTTGACATAAAACTTGATTTTGAACCTAACTTTAATACACACAAGGATTTACATATTCCACACTTTGGCACATGCCTAATTTTACTTTTCCAAAGAAATCTTTGAGAGTTGAATTTATTTTTGGTAAGCAAACATTGTTTGGTTAACTTTAATTTAACAAAATAACACTAAAACAACAAAAATACAAATAAGGTGAGTAGTCTTCAACCAATTGGCATTAAAATCATTTTAAATTCATATTTAACCATGACAAGATGTATACCAACTCCTTAAATTTTATAAACAATAAAATAGCATCAGCAGCTGGACCATGCTTCCTTAGTTTTGTTACACTGACTGATATATTTATATATATATATATATATATAAGAATTTTGGGGTTTGATTCTTTGAATCAATTCGAAAACTATCATTTAGTGGAGGTTGTTTTGTTAGAAAACAACATTGTTAAAGCTTTTGCCTTTATGGTATCAAATAAACTATAGATTTTTAGAACTATTCTGCTATGATGTATGTACATCTATTCAAAACGTATCCTTATAATATGCTAAGTAATAAATTACATTCTTTGATAGTTTTTCAAAACACGAGATATTTTATTTTTAGAATCCAAATCTAATCCTTCATACGATTTTTTAGCTGTGAATTTTTTATTTTATTTTATTTTATTTTGCAAAAAACACAATTGTAGAATCCTTAAGTATTTGCAAAGACATTATGTGAATAAATGTAAATTATAAAATTTTGATCTATGCTGTAAAATTAAAGTTCTTTAACAACTTTCAATCCAATATATCATTCAGCAAATTAGCACTACTGAAAAATTATTAAAAATATTTTTTTTATAAATGATTTAAGATGTTATTCAATCACATCTTTTTAGTAATTTTAGAACAAATCATGTTTACATGGAATCTTTTATATGTAAAAATTAAAAAGAAAAAAAAAGAAAAAAGAAAAAAGAAAGAGGGATTGAAAATTTCAATCTTCAATAGACATTCTTTATTAATTTCGGATTGGTTGAAATTAGATGATAATCGTATAACAACATTTGGTTATTGTGCATGTTTTATGTATCTAATTGAACAAAATATAAATTTCAATGCCAAGATTTTAAAATATATTTTTATTGTCTATTGTGACAAATAAAAAATTAATCAGATATTTAATTTAATTTATATATGGTTTTATGATTACTATATATAAAATATTTTAAATATTAATATTGGTTAAAGTAAAAATAAATAAAGAATTACGTCTAAGGTTCAATAATATAATAATGGATACATATCTTCAAAAACTTATCTTTATATAATTAAAAAATAATGCTAATAATATATATTTTTATGATAGAAGAAAGAATTAAAATAATTATTGTCAAGTATAAAGGTTTAAATAGTCTTAAATTAAGACTTAAGAATGAAATAAATATTTATAAAATTGAAGATGGCTTTAGTCTTGCTTCTATATAAATAAATTAGCAAGAAAATTATGTAAAAAGCATCTAAAGAACTACAAGACTTTTTGACCAAGTAAATTAGTTAGAAGATTCTTTTGTACTAACTATTTAGAAATAAAAAACCTTCTAGATGTTATTGTAATTACACAATACTTATTTGAATTTAAATTGGTTTTGAAAACATTTGTTAATGTTTTCCAAGAAAGATACTATACATCTAATATATACTTTTGATATTATGCTTTAGTAGTACACAAATTTATAATAATAAACATATTTTTATCTTAATCCAAGCTCAAAACAAAGTCAAATTGATTCTAATTTTTAAAAATTTAGTATCCAATATCAATCAATAATATTTCAACTAATATATGTAATTTTAATAAATCTTAGTAAAAATATAATCTTATATATAAACCTTAAAGTAATATTTTAATCTTTAGTCAATACTAGAAGATTCGTTTAATAAATTAAAACATTTATTAAATACCTTTGAAGTTATATTTTTGAATATTCTTAATAAATTTATTTGTTACAAAAATGTACTTATTAAGTTAATAAGTGCAAAAGCTTTAATTTTTAATACAAATGCACTTGATAAGCATTTTAATTTGTAGTACGTCTATATTTATATACTAAATATACACTTTTTATTACAAATCAAATGGTGATTTTCTATTAAGTTATATAGTTTTTGTTTTGTTTGTTTGTTTGTTAATTTGTATTATTTTAGCAAGAATTTTTGTAATATTTATAAACCTTTTTGTGTGATTCTTGCTTATATTGTCTGTATGTCAATTCATTATTATATTGTATGTTATTAGACATAAATAATTTTTTTATACATATTATTTTCAAAGAAAACCATGTAATACCTCAAATTATATTTATGGTTATAGTTTGTGGGTAAATAATATTATAACTATGGATATATGCGCATACATGTTGTATAATATTAAAATTAAAAAAAATAAACCCTCTATAATTTCTCATGATAATTGTGATGGTATAATTGTTTTTTTTTTTGTTTTGTTTTTTTGTTTTTTTTTTACTTATATGAAGATCTTTTCTGATAAAATATACAAATCAATAAAAGAACATCAAAATTTTATATAATTTACTACTTTTTTATACATATTTAAAAAATACACCATCAACCAAAACAATAAAATCCAGCGCATTTATATTTCTTATGTTTTGAATCTTTTGCATTTGGAAATAATATATTTATTTTCAAGAAAATTATGTATAAAAATTATTGTAGTCAGCAAAATCAGACCTTTCCAAATGAGTTCCAACTCATGTAGGAATTCAGGAGTGTATGGCATATCAGAACAATCTTTCAAAAAGTCCAACCCTGCCTTCACAGATCTTTCATCAAAAGAAAAGAAAACAAAAAAGAAAAACAAGCAGCCATTCAACCACACAACACAACACACTCTCTCACACACACACACACACACCACAAAAGGGCACTTCAAAAACGCAGATTCTACCACAACAGTGCCCAATGTCGGTGTTAAGACGCACTCTCTACCAGCCACAAGATGGTGCAGCCAGAACACAGACTCAAACAAATGAAGGCTTGTCACCAAATGATACGAGAAGCAGCAAAATGCTAATAAAAAAAAAAAAAAAACAAAACAAAACAAAACAAAAAACAAAAAAGGAAACAACAAAAAAGGTGGGTTGATGCTAATGAAAGCAGGAAGGAGGCCCGTCACCATGGTAATGGCGTCGTGGCACCCAACGAGGCCCAGACTTTGCAAGTAGCCGGCTGGCAATGCAGAGAAGTAGAGAAAAGAAGAGAAAGGAAGGGAGGGGAAGCATTGGGAAGCGAGGGGAGTGGGGGTCCGGCCTACAGTAGAGTACAGTAGAGTAGAGTAGATGGACAGATAGATAGCGAGTTAGACAGATAGATAGCCACAAAGTCCAAAGGATACCTTTTCCCCTCTCTGCCCAGTTGTGTGCATAAAGAAGCGTGGAATTGGCGTCATCTCCAACGCCTAGTGAGCGAGAATGAGGGAGAGCGAGCGAGATGGTCGTCAAGGAAAGGGGTGGAGGGGTGGAAAGGGATTTCACTGTTCATATGCCCCTCGCTTTCTGCAGGAGTCAAGGCAGCCAGCCAGCCATCGAGCATCCCCAGCCCCTCGGGTTTCGACACACCCCCCCCCCCCCCCCCCCCCCCCGCCCAACTCACTGCCTGCCTGCCAAT